GTAACTTTTAATGATACCACTGCATTGAAAGATGAGATAACTGTAGCAACTAGGATGAAAAGGACTGTTTCCAACTGTTCAGGGCAAAATATGAGCATTTTGCAGTTGATTCTGAATTTTAATTTTTATTTACAAATAAAAAAAATGAAGTGGCGAATCCGTTAACCAAGAAATTAAATTGGTGTGGCCTAAAGGTCCATAATTAAGATCCCATCAGCCTTGCTTACAGATGAGTACTGTGTTAACCATTAATGTTAAGATTGCGCTCTGCTGTCTATGATGACCTGTTCCTAAACCTCCTTGGATCGAACTGGTCGGATGTTCTTTAGCAGGGTTATAGGTTAAAGGTCGTAACAAATTACATGTACATGTACCATATTATTGCCACATTTCACTCACAAGAGTTGAACTTGTATATTTGTATACCGGGGCTCCTATATGTAACACTCTAAATAAAAAACAAGAGTTCCACGATCTCATACCTTCGCCAAATGATGTTAATCCTTCCGGTTGACGAATTATACAATCTCAATTATTGATTTGCAAATAAGAGACTATTTGCATGGATTATATCAGTTGATCATATTCCCCACCCAATAACAGCCTTATCTTAAGAAAAAGGCGATTTTAACCCTTTCTCATAAATTAGCAAATGAGCTAATGACTTGAATAAATTATGTTTATTGCTGTTCACCTTCACTTAACTTCCTGAACTTAAATGCGGCAAGTATAAAATTCCCAGCAATTACAACTATGAAATTATAACAATTTCCCATTAATTATGCAAATGAGGTCTTCATTTACATACTAGTAATCTATATCCTCATGTTTTTCTCGTTCTCAAATACATATGTTCCATAGTCCTATCATCGAAAAAAGTGGATTTAAAGAATTTCCTCATTAATTATGCAAATTAGCTCCTGATTTCCATACTTGTCATCTGATTATGTGAAGCAATACTTCAGCTCCCTACACACCAAAAATTACGACAATTCGTCAACCTGTTCTTGAGTTATCCTCCTTCAAACATTTTTCAACTAAAGCTCCTGCAGTTCCAGAACAAGCCGCTAGGGGGTCTAAACTCATGTCACTTCTTCCCTACCCCAAGAGCTATCTACCAACCAAAATCCGTCACCCATAGCATGTCCAGATCGCGAGATATCAAAACCGGAAGTTCTGCTGCAGTACCAACAAAAGCCGCCAGGGGGCCCAGAATCTAGTCATTTCTGGGTCTCATCAAGACCTACCCACCTACCAAGTTTCATAACTTCTTGAGTTATGCTGTTCACAGACAAACAAACGGAGAGACAAACAGACAAACGCTACTGAAAACATAACCTTCTTGGCGAAGGTAATAAGTATCAATGTATTTCATGTAAATGTGATACAAAGTATGTCATGCAACTTGACTTCTTAATAAACTGAAAGTTCATGTACAAGACCATCACTGACTTGACCTCGTTCGACTCCAGTGGCATCTCATGGCTTACTGGCCAAAGTGTTGTTGACCACTTTGGTATTTTTTGCACGAAGTGTTTGTTTATGTGTGCTTTAATATGAGTAGAGTACTACAAGGACAAAGGTCCATGTGACTGTTAATAGGTCAGCCTATTTGCTCCCATTTGGTCCCTTTGACGGCCGGTTTCTGTTAGGGACCCGTCCGGTGCCCTGTCAGTCTCCCGTCTTGACCCGTGCGTGATGCGATAG